ACAACACCTGCTAGTCCAAACCAGCAGAAGTTTCTTAGCACGTGTTTGTTGTGCGATCGTCAGCCACTGGTACAGCAATTGAGTCGTGATGAACACGAATGTTTTACAAGGTTGACGAAAGCGGGTATTGTAACTGAAGTTGGCGGCTACGTATGGTTCACGTCTCCCTTGGCTGAAAGGTACTACTACAAGTGGCTGTTTCCTGGTCGTGGATATGAGAATCCTACATCGTTGCACGAGCTGATCCGAAAGGCGATTGAAAGTATGTCTGCTTCCGCGCTAAAACAATCTGTGGTTCGCAATGACGACTTTCCCAAAGAAGCTGTGTTCCAGCATCAGTTTATGGCAACTCTTGCGCGACACACAACAAGCACGTGCTATATATGCCCTGAACTTTCGAGAGTGTTCCCTACCTCGCCTGGTCAGCCTAGCACGCGCATTGATGGAGAGATTGACTTTTATTTAAATGGAAGTCTTCGGTGGGGAATCGAATTGCTCGTTAATGGTGACAAGATTGGCGAGCATATGTCTCGATTCGCTGCAGGGGGGAAGTATGCTGCTCTCGCTGCAAAAGAATACGTTATCATCGATTTTCGAGGCAACAAATGTGGAATATCAACGAAAGTTGCCCGTAAAGCAGAGAGGATCACAGCTTTCTTTAAACTTGGAGACTTCTCGAAATGTCGCTGTATATTTGGATTTGAGGACGAGGAACTGATTAGTTTGAAACAGTAATGACCTGTTTGCTACGCCGTCATTTTTTTTAATCCTGATAAATATAAAATTGTTAATATACAAAGATGGCGTACTCATCTGAACAATACCTCGCTAACAAAGAGCGCATTAAGGCTGCGCAGAAGCGCTACTATCAGCGCACACGTGAAACTCGACTGTCGTATCAAAAGAGCTACGACGATAAGAACAGAGAGCAGATCCGTGTTCGCAAGCGCAAGCCCAAAACCGAACTTATTGATGACAAAGCCGAACCTAACAACGAAACCAAACTTAATTCATTGTTTTTTTTT